TCATATAAATATATGTGTGTGTGGGTGTGTCCCCCCCACACACGTATATTAGATAAGACAGACATATTGAATAGTCACAGGAAGAAAAAATCTGGCTTGAATCAATTTAGGAAATCATTTAATCTGTTCCCTTCTTGACTTTACCCCACTGTGTTACAGATTTCTTACTGAGCACTCCTATCTAGGGATATTATTAGAACACTAAGATATACCACTATCTGGGCTCCTGGCAAAGAGAAGCCTCTTCTAGGTCACCCAAGTTTATAACTTCAGGTCATCCTTGACTTTTCTCTTCTTCCCCCACCCCATTCTCCATCCACTCAGTTGCCAATTCTACTTCCACATCTCTCGTTCCCTTTTCTTCAGTCACATGGACACCATCCTAATTCAGGGCCTCACTACCTTTCATCTTTACTATTTTAATCAACTGCCCTCTCCCTTTGGCAAGCCACTTCAAACCTTCCATTTACAGAGCTGACAAAATAATTTTAAGGAACAGATCGGATTGTTACTACACTACTGAAAAGCCTCCAGGAAGTCCTTGTTGCCTTTATAATAAAACACAACCTCTTCTAAAATGCATTTAAGAGTTTCCATAATTTGGCTACAACCTACCTTTCCAATTTACTAATTTCATGCTATCTATTTTCCACCAATATGGGCATCTAGGTAGTACAGTGGATAGGGGGAGAGGCCTGAAGTCAGGAAAACACATCTTTGTGAGTTCAAATCTGGCCTCAGGAAGATGGCAGAGTAAAAAGGTAGTCACTCTCACCCTTCCCTATCAACTTCTGAAAACCCGGAAAATATCACCCCAGAAAAAAAACCAAAAGCCTGAAACAGCTGAACTAGAAGGAAGATGGGGAGCAGCAGTGCAGCAGCCCAGCAAACGGGTCTCCCAGCGCCTCAGCAAAAATAAGGGAAGCAGCACTACAGAGGGCCCCAGGCAGATAAGTACCCTACAGCATCCATCTGAAAGGAGCTGAAGAAAGCAACCTAGAGTTTTCCTAAAATCCCAGGCTTGCTGATTCCAACCCAACACCAGGTAAGCTGTCAGAACCCTACAGCCTCCAACTGTCAACCAGGAGAAGACCCCGAAGCCCAGGCGGTAGAGCAGGCAAACACCAACACTCAGTGCCTCAGTGAAGATGGGGGAACCAGTGAAAACCAGCTCAGAAAACCACCAGGTGCCTTGGCCCTCTATCGCAAACGAATCTCCCAGTGCATTAGCAGAAAGGAGGGAGGCAGCACTGCAAGGAGCCCCAGGCAGATAAACACCCTGCAGCACCCAACTAAAAGGAGCTGAAGAAAGCTAAAGGAAAGGAAAAGCAAGCAACCTAAAATTGCCTAAAATTTCCAGCCTTGCTGATTCCAGCCCAACACAAGGTAAGCTGCCAGAACCCTGCAGTCTCCAAGTGCCAACATAAGAGGCCCCAGCACACAAAGCCAGTGACCAAGACCTAGCCTCCCAACACAAGAAACTTGTGTCACTGCCCTCTGTTCCCCAGCTCAATCTCTTTAAAGGTCAGGGAATAAAGAAACCATGAGTAAAAGGAAACGTATCATAGATTCATATTATGAGAAGAGTGAAGATCAAGACAGAAATTCTGAAGAGGACAACATTGTCAACAAACCCACATCTGCAACATCAAAAGGGAATATGAACTGGTCTGAAGCCCAAAAAGTCTTCTTAGAAGATCTCAAGAAGGATTTTAAAAGTCAAATGAGAGAGGTAGAAGAGTCCTTAAAAAATACAATTGGCCAATTTGAAAAAAAGTACACTGAAGAAAACAAGTCCCTAAAAAACACAACTGGCAAACTGGAAAAAAGTACACTGAAGAAAACAAATCCCTTAAAAATACAATTGGCCAATTAGAGAAGGAAGTATAAAAACTAACAGAAGACAACAATCTGTTAAAAACTAGAATCGGACAAATGGAAACTAATGACTCTATGAGAGAGCAAGAATCGGTCAAACAGAAACAAAAAAATGAAAACATAGATGAAAATGTAAAATACCTCATCGGTAAAACAACCGACCTGGAAAATCGATCCAGGAGAGACAACTTAAAAATTATTGGACTACCTGAAAAACATGATGAAAAAAAGAGCCTGGTCAAATCTGGCCTCAGACACTTACTAGCTGTGTGACCCTGGGCAAGTCATTTAACCCTATTTGCCTCTGTTTCCTCATCTGTAAATATGAGCTGGAGAAGGAAATGGCAAACCACTCCAGTATCTTTGCCAAGAAAATCCAATGGAGTCACAAGAGTCAGCCATGTCTGAAAACAACTGAACAACAACAGAACATTTTAGCCAAACTGAGCCACTAGATTTCCTTCTAAACTTGACCTTCCATTTCTCATTACTGGGTATTGCACAAGCCATTTCCCATGCCTGGAAGTACTTCTTCCTCATCTCTCTCTTGCAAAACCTCTTCTTTTAAGGCTCAGCACAGGGCAACTTCTGCTAAGTCTTCCCTGGTCCCTGTCCACCACTCCTACCACCCCAAGACCAACTCTAGCTCTTCAAATTTTAATGGGTTTTGTCAGTAAAATGTAAGCTTCTTGCGGACAAGGACTTTACCTTTTGTGTCACTACTCCCAGTGCCTAGCATATCACAGATGTGTGAAGAGTGTTTGAACTGAGTTGAAAATGACTCTCAGCAAGACTATTTCCATTAGGACTTCAATGAATCTTGCCGTCTGCCAGTAGAAGCAGTAACACCCTTCTTAGTCTTCAAAATACCCTTGGCAAAAATAAGCTGAGAACTGGTCTGCTCCCTGGCTTGCTTCTTCTAAAGACTGTAACTTCCCTTTTGTTTTCTTCATAGCAGGATGTGACTCAGAGTGGATGTCATTAAGGCAGTAGGGGTGTTGTAATGTTTGGAACAAGGGACGGGGGAGTGGATGGAAATTCTATGCATTGTCAGATCCATAAAATTGGTATTGAATGCTATTGTTAGTATGATCTACAGAACAGCTCCCACCTAAAAATATTCCTCTAGCACATGGAAAAATCTGTGTTGCAATAAACCTTCATGCAGCATTATTTCATGCTATAATAGTTTTGACAATGTCTTTAAATTATTGTAAAAAGAAATTTTTCCCTAGAAAACAAGTTTGAAGAAAGAGCTCTGTAAGGAAATGAAGCTTTTAATAAACACCTATAAAATTGTACCATTTTGAAACATAGCTTGCTATATAATCTATACCATCTTAATAAAAGCATAGAAGGAAAATGGGCTTCTGACCTGTTTCACGTTTATTTCTGTATTGTTCCAGTATTTTTATACTATGGTACTTAAGGCAAGAAGACTAGCAGTTAGGATTCATGCGATCTTTAGTTTATTAATCTGACAAATACAGGAAAATTTTGCAATCTATCAAAATTGTATCTTATCAAGAATTTGAAAGGTGTTACAAAAAGATGTTTTCACATTCTTTCTGGATTATGTACAAATCAGTGTCTGTAGAAACAAAAACAAAACAGCAAACACTTGAGAGTAAAGGAATCCCAATGAAGTCCATATTCCAGCATGTCCAACCGCATTGTAAACTACTGCAATGTGGACAACCTTGTAGCCACCACTGCATGATTCAAAGTTTTGAAGCTGCTGACAACAGTTCCAATAAATACTTGTTCTTTTAAAAAGGAAAATGTCCTAAGAAGGAAACTTTTCCCGCTGCATAGTCCAACCTGAAGTTCTAGTCAGGCACATTCGAGGAGAGATCTGACTGTCTCCTCATATTATTGACAGAGCAAGCATTCAGAAGCGTTACCTCTTTCTGAGATATTCTGAAAATGCTTTGTACACAGAGACATTGAGTCATTTCAGCAGGAGGCAGCTTTCAAGTACATCAGGTGAAAAGTGGTAGGTTTCTGATCAGGACTCTACTGGCGGTCAAGGCAATACCTATCCTGCATCCTCTCCTGAGGCAGGTGCTTCCTCTAACCAGGTAAGACCACCAGGTAATGATATTCAGATAAGCTGCTCAGAGACCATTCTTTTATGACAGGGCTGAGAAGAGTTGAAAGTCGGCGAGTGTTTTTCAAAGTCCTTTATTCTGGGATTTTAAAGACATTATGAAGATATGCTCTATGCTCAAACTGAAGACATAAAAAGTCTCTGCCATGAGATCCAGAGGAAAAGAGAAAAAGATCAGTGAGATCATCTGTCCAGTTCTGAAAGCTCCTCTCCAACACAGTGTTTAGGACATCTGCAGGCAAAGAGGGAGGATGGGAGAGTGGGGTACTGTCCATCACATATTATATGATGAGGGCAAATTCAGAGGAAGCGAAGGAAAGAAGCCTTAGTCCACTCAGAAGACTCCTTCCTGAAATGAGCACAACCCAGTTCATGAGCCTGCTTCTCACACAGAGATGGTCCGGGGGAGAAGCTGCGACAGCACACGCTACATAAGGCTCTGACAACATTATTGCAATTTTCAGTGTCAATTGTGTTCGTGTGGCAAGAGCCCTTAAGGACAACCATGAAAAAGTGGTTACAGATTACAGTATACAGTCATTATGCCTAAAGTTTCTGATGTTTTAAAGAGTTTAAAGTTATCCACATGTTAGAAAACAGCAAACTAATAATACAGTCCAAGTGAAACTCTTGAAAAATTTAGAGAAGTCCAAGGTAATGCAGCCTCCTCCTTCCAGGAAAAAAACAAACAAACCGTTGCTGATCAAGCACAGTCGGGTGAACAAAATGGGGAACTTGTACAGCCAGGAATCACAGAATGTAGCTCAAGTTCTGCTTCTGACATCATACAGCTTCTCTTAACTGCTTAACTTTTTTATATTTCCCCTTTTGTAAGTGGGGTACAGATCAGTTTGTGTGAAAAGTGCTTTGAGATCCTTAGGGCAGCAGCATCAGATATGAGCAAGGTACATTGTTTGCAGTCCTGGAGACTCCGAAGGAGACTATTAGATGCAAATGACGCATAGAGAGGAGATCCGACATTCACAACTTAAACAATATATTCAGTTATTGCATTTATGGGTGGATAATTAATAATAAATTTCTGACTTTTCTCATACTTTTCTTCCAAGCTCTGCAAAGGTCACAATTTCCACTTTTCTAAAGGTCAAATGTCATCAATAAGAAGCTGCGGTACCTGCAATTTGTTCTGATAGGTGATTTTGCTTAACTTTTAGTAGGAAGGTACTATAGGACAGGGGTGGTTATTTAAAAAAAAAGGTTGATACAGTAAAAATTAAATGTATAAATAAAAAAAGAAAAGAAAGAAAAACAGTCTTGAAATACAATAACATACTAGGCCAGGAAAAAAACAGAGGGCTGCGACTTCTAGTCTAGGGCATCAAACATCAATCTTCCAAATATACCCTGTGAACTATTTTCTACATAAAAGCACTCTTTCATTAAGTAAATATGTCGTGTGTCAAAACTAGATACAAATCTACCATTTTCTCATCTATTGCCTTAATTCCTTTCTTTTAAAGGGAATTTTAATTTAAAGAAAAACTTGAAATTCATCAAACTTCTGAATTTGTTGCATTTCGTTGGTTAATTCAATGGGTGGTGCTATTCCCAGTGTGGAAGAGCCCCACTCCTCAGATAAATACTTAAGGGATAAATACTGTGGCTGCCTATCCTTGAATGACTTTCAAATGTGTATCTGGCATTTCCTCTGCTCCATAATGTGACCTAATTCCTTTTTCATTATAGAAGACTCATAATTGATATGCTGGAATCTCCAAACTTATTCTTAAGAGAGCATTTTGGGGGAAGTTCATGCTGTTGAAGTCCTTGGTTCTACTTAATGGAACATATAATGGGTCTGTTTGCTATGATGCAGCTTGGTTCAGATACGGCTCAGATTTGCATGTAGCATCACCATCCTTTCAAGGGGGAAAACTGAAGCACAGGATAGCCAACACAGGCACAAGCAAACTTCTCTTAGGTGAGCCCTGGTTTGAAGTAAAAATCTATAACACACAGAGTATCTGGAAGCCTTGCTAAAAAGAACTCGCTTTATACTTCACTAAGTAATGCCTGAGATCATGAACTCATAGATATCTAAGTGCTTCTGAATCACAGGTAAAACTCCAGGAGATAATATTTCTGCTGTAAAGTATTTAAGTGGGAGAGAAGAATGGAGAGAAGCCTGAGAGAAAAGTATGAAGTGAAGAAAAGATTCAGATTTTTAAAAAAGCAAAACAATCAAATGTTCTGAAACTCATCCTTTCTTTTTGCATCCTTCATTTCCATTGAAGTTCCCAAAACAATCCAATATGAGCAAGTATTTAGATACAAAGGCATTACCTGAACATAAAATCCCCAAACCAGGTGAATACACATATTTTCCTTATTACCCTAATAAACCAGAGAAGCCATCCAATGGCAGAGTGCATATATTCCAGGCCCCAAAAGAAACTGCCCCAATCTAGAAGACATATTACAGCTAGATGCGTGTTAGGCACAGAGATGATACTGGTCACTCCTGAGCTACAGCACCGCCTTCTTCTTCTTGAGTACACTGTCTGATCACTAAAGCTGAGGGTTCTCTGAGGCAAAGAGGGCCAACAGAGTTTGTGCCCTGTCTACACACACAGACTTTAGTTAGAGATAGTAACCTCTGGAAAGAGCAGGTCATCAGATTTTTTTTGTTTGGCATAGAACCGAATTTCACTGTTGCTTAAATTAGTGTCTTCACTGTCCCCAATTCAAACAAAGATACTTTGAAACAACATGCAATAGGAGAGGTATAATCACAAAAAACCAACTGTAAGGTTTCTGATAAATGATTTGGTATCTGCTCTTTAGCATTTAGTTTGTTTTGCCCTATTAGCTGTTTGAGGATGCTTCTTCCCTCATCAGTGACTTCTCCTCCTAACCCCATGCTCCTAAAGATAGGCCAAGTTTGTAGACTGAAAATACTATTATCTTTCTACATACTAGTTTCTAACCCTGCTAAACAAAACTGATTCATAAACTACCTAAAAAATAATTTGCTTTCAGCAGTTCATTCTAATTCTCGACAGCTGACAGAAATACTGAGTCCGACTAAGAAAGAAACCAGGAAAGGAAGAATATCACAAAGCATTATATTTTGTTTTAATTCCCTGGCTTTTGGCCACAAACTTTTGATGGGAGTCTGTGTATTATTGAAGAAATTACAACAAAAAAGGCTAATTGCAGCAATTTACAAGCATACAAGCATGCTTGAGATAAAATCCTAAAATAAATGGGTCATCCATCCACTGCCATGACAGACCTTATCTGTCTTTCTTACTTGGGTAGGAGAATTACATGCAGTTTGGAGTGAAGGCGAAAAATATGGAAGATATGTGGGGAAAGGTGAACTTGGAATGCTGTGCCTTTTGAAAAAAAAAAAAAAGACTAATTGCATGTTGCTATCATAGCAAGAAAGGACAGAAATGTAGCTGGATATCCAGAAGCATTCTGAGAATATCAGTGAGGAAGAGGCTTTGAACAACAGTCCCCTTACCACTGATATCTACTGAATCTTGAACCAAAGTCCTTTGACATGGCCTAGCCCAGATTACTTCAGATTGAAGTTGAGAAGAAATGGCAAAAGTGAAAAGTGATAAAACTTCAGTGCTTGAGAACATAAACCATTAAAATCTGCCCGAGCCCTGGCTTGACCCAAGGTGGAGGAGATTCTCTTACTTGAAAATGGCTTGAACTTCTAGCACAAAAGTCAGGAAGTGGCAGCTGCCTCCCTTTTCTCCACTCCATTTGGCTTGCAGATGTCTGTCCACTTGGTGATACCCCAAAAGGTTCAACCTTTAACTAACACAGATTTATTGGGTTGATTTTTCAATACATGGGTTGAGGTACAGGTCACTGTTTGGTCTAACAGCTTCCCTCATTTCACCTCTTGGCAATGGCAGTCCTGAGAGTCTGTAGTGTTGGTAATGTCTACCTATGACCAAGGGGTATAAACTGCTGGTGCAAGCATCAGCAACTTTCTGGCTTATTGTCCTGCTTCTATGTCTATTCCACAAATCCAGGTGGCTTCTTGTAGCAAAAAAAAAAAAAATCAACATATTTAAAACCATTTACGGCCTTTTCAGTGTTCAGGGAAGCAAGTTCTCACAAAAAACTGGGAGAAAGTTGTGATGAGTCCAGCTGGGAATCTTGAAACTGTTCCATGAGGAAGAAGAAAACTTTTTTGTCCTCTCTAGATTTTACTACAGTAAGAGGAGAAAAATCCACAGGATTCCAATTTTCAATGTGCTAGATATAAAATTGGTGGAATGCTAGCTGGTCCATAAAAGGCTGCACTAGATAATCTGTGGCAAAATAGAAAACAAGCCCAAAGGTGATGGAGATTGGAAGAGCTGGCAATGCTTTCTTGAAGATGGCGAGAAGCAGTAAAGTAAGGCACAAACCCTGCAGAGAAGGTAGAAAGAAGCCATAAATTGAAATGCACTCATGCACTTTACAATTCAATGTTGCTATTAAACTCAGGAGTTTTTGCTTCATGTAATCATTAGCCAACTGAATACTCTTAGGTTAAATTTTAGAAATCAATTTTTTTTAAAACACTGTGGAAGGTCATTAAAAAACTTTTTGAGGTTCCTAGTCTAAAATAAAGCAAAACTCATTTCACTGGTTTACAGCAACCCAGTTATAGTGATTCAGTATATTTCATACACTTGCACAATTTCAAGCAAGAAATAAAATTGAAACAAATTTTTCAAAAGGAAAAAGTTTCATTACTAGACATAAAATAGTGGAAATTTTTACAGTCTTCAGATTGGCCTTGGAAAGAAATGGAAGAAGTGAAAAGTGATAAAATTTCAGTGTCTGAGAACACAAATCACTAAATTTTACAACTGCTAACAGTAAGAGATGGAATCTCCCTTTCTGAAAAGACTTCAGTCCCTGGAATTTTAGGTGAGCTGATGAAAACTGTGTTGGACAACCCACCAGCATAGAAACTTTATCCTTTATGCTCTATATTGCAAGGAGAAGTGACTGCTAATGGTAGAAACAAGGCTTATGTTTAGAGGAACTATCTAGCTTTCTTTGAAACCTGAAGTAACTGTAGTGCAATTCATTCTCTTCCTTAGCTATTTAAAAGTTAACTACAAAATTTGAGGACAAGGGTATGCAGCATGCAATTTTGTCTAAGGAAAAAAAACAGTAACAAATTCCCAGTGTTACAGTAGATATTTTAAAGTATATTCAATAGTGGGGGCAGCTAGGTGGCACAAAGATAAGAGTGCAGGGCCTGGAGTCAGGAGGATCTGAGTTCAAATTCAGCCTCTGACATTTACTAGCTACATGATCACAGGCAAGTCACTTTTAAGCCTATTTGCCTCAGTTTCCTCATCTGTCAAATGAGCTGGAGAAGGAAATGGCAAACCACTCCAGTACCTTTGCCAAGAAAACCCAAAATGAGTCACAAAGAGTCAGACATGAAATGACTGAACAACAAAAAATTCAATAGAATAAATTAAGGCTCTCATCATGCTAACACATCTACATTTCACTTGCATACTGCACAACAAAGATGGTATATTTTACAGAAAGACAAGTGAACAAAAATATCATATGAAATTAGATTTGCTTAAAGCACACATGTGAAAAATTCAGTGCTCATCTTTTTGCACTATCAAAAAACGACAGATACGATGGTCTATAACCCATTCTGTTCTAAGAGCTGGCTGAACAGCTGGGACACAAAGTTGTTAAAATGACACCATATAAAAAGAGCAATAAAAGGCTTTGTCATGTCCTAACATAGTCCCCACCTTGTGAGAGGCTACTGAGAACATAGCTGACTCCTGATTATCCCCTTTAAGGTTGCTCTCTAGCACGGCTACTTCCTCATATGAATGACTGCCATGCTTACCTTTAAAGGGATGGAATAATCACAGCTGAGCCTTAGGGGTATTTAATCATTTGTTAGGTTATACTTACAATTAATATGGCTACAAAACAGGCTATTGTTGTGTTCCAGTCTCCACTAGCTGTTGCTGAGGCTTTGCCAACCAGAACACTGTAGAAAATGAAATCCCCTAGTCCAAGCTTTACTCCCCCTGAAAAGAAAAGATTAGGAACATGAAGAAACACAACTGCCCGAAGGTCCCAGTTATTCAAAATACAAAAACCACATATGCTTTAAAAATTTTTAACATTTTAAACTTTAGAAGTTCTGTTTAGTTAGAAAACCATGCTCTGCTGCCATCTAATCAAATCAACACTACACCAAGCTTACTAAGCTGAAAAAGAGTAAGGAGCAGGTGTATGACATAAGTAAAAGTGAATTCTCTTAAAATGATGGTACTGGTATATGACATAAGTAAAAGTGAATCCTCTTAAAATGATGGCACTGGAAGGCAAAAAAAATGCTATGATTTTGAGCTTTGGGTGAAATGCTATGGAAAATACACATGGTATAATTAACTTTAGATTCAGGAGACATGATCTGACCTGTAAGATGACTTCATGACACTGCCAGAAGAAACCTGCAATGTATTTGTATTGTTCTGCTTTGAATAGGAAAGTAAAGGGCTTGGACTAGTTCAAATCAAGAAACACTTATTAAGTGTCTATGAGGTGCAAGGCATGACAGTGCTGGTATACAAAGACAAAACAAAATGGTGTCTGCTTTCAGGGAGCTTATTTTTCAATGGAAGGGAAACAGCACATACACAGATCAATACCAAATATACATAAGTAATTCTTTGTGGGGAGGGAAGAGAGAAATCACTAAGCATTGGAGAATCAGGAAGGGCTTCCTGTTAGAGAACAGCACTTGAAGTGAGCCTTGAAGGAACATAAGGATTCCAAGAAATAGAGGTCAGGAGGGAGACATTCCAGGTGTGTGTTATAATCAACAGAAAGGCATGAAGATGAAAGATGTAATGTCATGCATGTGAAACGGCAAGCAAGCCTATTTGGATGGAACACACATTGGAAAAAAATGTGAAATCAGGCTGGAAATGTTTGTAGATTGGAGGCAGATTGTAAAAGGTTTTAAATGTCAAAGAAAGGAGTTTGATATCATCCTTGAAAGCAAAATGGAGCCAATGAAAGCATCTTAAACAAGCGAGTGATACAGTCAGAGCTACACAGTAAGAATATAAATTTGGTAGCTGTTTTACAGAAGGTGGACTGGACACAAGGAGACTAATTAGGAAGCTAATGCAACAGTTCAGTAATGAGGGCTTTAATGAGAGTGGTGGCCATGTGGGTAGAGAGAAGGGGATAGATATGATAGATGTTGCAGACCTAGAGTTGATTGGACTTGGCAACTGATTTAATTAGGGGTGGGAGGATGACAGGGAGATAAAATGAAGAGTTAAATATGACACCAACCTTAAGAACCTGGGTGATTGGAAGGCTAGCAGTACTCTCAATAAAAAGATGACTTAGGAAGAGGGGTGGCTTTAGGCAGAAAGACAATGAGTTGTATTTTGGACATGCTGAGTTTGAGATGTCTATGAGACATCCAAATGGAGATGTCTAACAGGCAGCTGGTGATACAGGACAGGAACCCAAGAGAATGATGACACAGACGTGCGTGTTTGGGAGATGTGTGCACAGAGAGGATTACTGAAATCATGGGAGTTGAGGAGGAGATTACTGAAAGTAGAAAAGAAGATCCAAGATAGATGCTGAGGACACACCTGGGCTACCAGCTGAAAATCTGGACTCTCAAAGGGAAAAGAGAAAATAGGGTGTGGAAAAACTGGCTACACAGATGGTGCTGAAAACCTATGGATCATAATCTAAGACAGGATCACAGAGCTAGAGATGGAAAGGACTTATGGGACCATTTAGTTCAAACCCTTAATTTTTTAAACGTGCTAAATGAAGTCCAGTGAAGTTAATGTCACCCAGGCAGCAGAAAGGAGAACGAGGATTTATTCCACTGTACCACTGGCTTAGGGGAGAATGTAACTCAAGAGAATCAGGAACAGCATGTTTATCCAGAAACTTGGCATTTTGACCAAGAAAGCTCATAATAATGGAGGAAAAATATGCCCAAATAGATTGTAAAACCAGATACTATGCAGAAGATCAGGTATGACCTAGGAAGAATAGGGAAAGAAGTATCAGGTAATTCACAGAAATTTATTGAGAAGTTAGAGACAGTAGTTTTTCTTCCCTCTTTTTAAAAATTTTGAACAGAAACGTCAAAGAATGTCCATACATACATCGGAACACAAAAGGATTCCATATGAAATTGTGATTTTTCATTTTATATTTCTTGCTTTAAAAAAAAGCATACAATAAATTCTACATATTACTTTCAAAAACATCTTGCTTATCTGTGTTTCCTTCTGAACTTCCCTCAGTTCTCTTCGATGTACTTTAAAAAAATGTTTCAGTAGTTTTCTTTTTTCCCCATCACTATTGCTATCCCCCCTCACCACCATCTTGCCCCATCCACCCACCACCCCATTACCCACTGCTAAGAAAAAGAAAACAAAAAAACTTATAAAAATATAGTGTGAGCAGAATTCCATATATACATATATATGTATATATATGTCTATATATGTGTATATATAATTGCAAGCAGAATGGCAAAATTTCATACACACACATAAAAACCCAGAGTTTAACATGCATATGGAGCAGTGTGTGTGTGTGTGTGTGTGTGTGTGTGTGTGTGTGTGTGTGTGTGTGTAATCAGCTTATCAAATTAAATGCTTGGTGAACATTTAATGTAGTAAAACACTGAATTAAGCTTATAAATTATGGTCTCAGAAATTTTTGGTCAAAATTTGTGTTACGACTTATGTTCAGTTGAATGTCAATAATCTCAAGAAAAAGCTAAAGTTATAGTCAACAACAGTGGCATCAAATTCAAACAGAAACAGATCCTGCAGGCCACATACTAATTTAGAAAACCACAAATTAACATTACTTGTATTTATTTTGTATTTTTGTTTATTTTGTTAAACATTTCCCAATTACATTTTATTCTGGTTCAGTGATTTTGCAGGCATAAGTTTGATACCACTGATCTACTTCATTCCTAATTTTATTAAAGGAATTGACTTCCAAATTTTACTTCTATTCCTAACACTGTTTATTTTAATCGAGACAGGGACCTATGACCAACACTACAATAAAATGAACATCAATGCTTAGAATATAAAAATATAACTTTTCCTGATGTTGCAGATACTAACATGCTACAATGCCCCTGAAATTTGTGTGTGTGTGCTTACAACTTAAACCAAGGGGTTGAAAATGTCCTTCTCAGTTCAAGACAGAGTGATAAAGTATCTTGACAGTCATACCATTCCCATCCTATATATCAATGAACTGCTAAATAAGCCCTTTCTCTATGTTTGATTCCTCAGGAAAAAGCTGGGAAATCAATCTTTTCAGGGAGTGATACTGAGCCATATTTTATTAGTGATTTAGGAATAAGGATGAAAAATAAACAACAAAAAACGTAATTCATCAAGTCTCTTTCCTTAGTCAAACAATCCAAGGGGACAAGTTATTTCTAACAGAAAAAGCTAAGGGACTTAGGTTCCTCTTAACTGATACTTGTATTTGATAAAGACAACCAACTGATAGCACAGCAAAGCAACCTGAATCTCAGCAATGAGCCCTGGGACACGGTTGAATTAGTCATTTCTATTTCCAAGGGTGGAGAGAACTCTCTACTAAAATCTTCCTTCAATGCATGCTCATGGTACAGAGGTGACCTGGGTTCCCAAAGGCTATGTCAGCTGTGGATGAGCTCTGGGAAGTTCTCAACAAGGTGGAAAGGCTTCAAAAGCATGGGCTCAGTGGACCACTCTCATTAAGTTTGGAGAAATGCACTTCTAGAAGGCTGGGCACTCTGCGCTGAATTTTTTATTCAAAATAACTCGTGAAAGACCATCTACTAAAACATGGTGGTCTTTGCATTAATGAAGAAAGTATATATTAAGATTACACTAAATCTGAAATACTGAAAAAATCAGAAGACAATTTGCTTTAAGTGTGGCTAATAGTTTTTCATTGCAACCCTCCTCTACATTCCCAGATGTACAACTAGAATCTTTATGTCAACTCTGAAACATAATTATTCCCATCCCTTCTTCCCTACAGGATTAAATTCCTACAATGAGCAGCCAACACTTATAATCTCTGCTCATTCTTTCAGTGCTTTGGTATACAGCATTTGACTATGCCATTTTATGAAATTACTTTCTTACAAGTTACCAATGACTAAAAAAGTGGTAGAATCAATAGTATTTTCCCCCTCATCCTCCACGAACAAACAAAAAAGCATTTATTTAGAGCTTACAATGTATCTATGCTAGTGATGGGTATCCTAAGGGTCCTTAGAAGTCATTTAATCCAATTCCCTTCATTTTACAGATGCTCTGAAATGGGGATACAAATGCAAAAAAAAATGTTAACAGCTTTTGCTCTCAAGAAGTTTACATTATAATAAAGGGAGACAGCACATTTAGTGGAGTGGTAGCCAGAGGAGGGAGGGTGGGTCAAGGGTACCACTGAGATGGTGAGCTGATCTACGGGGCAGTGACCTGACAGTCTTTCAGAAAGCAATGGTATCACTGATTTGATTAATGTGCCCAGAACAAGAGGTTCAGAATGCACAGAGGGAGGGCAAATGATTCCTCATTGGACAGCTAGATGAGTTATGAAGCATAGTCTTATCTAGAGCTATCTAGATAAATCTGAATTCACTCAGCAGGGCTCAGCCTCAGGGCAGAAGTTTAGAGAGGTTGAGTAATTTCTGTTCCCAAGGGAAAGGGAATATGGATTCTTGAGGTCCAGTATATTTGGTGCTGATCCAAGTCTTGGGCTTAGATCATCTCTGTTTGTCCTCTCAATTTTCCCTCTTCTGCACAAATAATGGCTGTGAGGCCTGAGACTCAGATAACCTCTTGGTACATCAGGTCATTCTCTAAGATGCTAAGTTTCAGAGTAGGTGCTGATCTGGTAGGGGATGTTTCCCCACTGGGAGTTCCCAATACCGATGAAAAAAAAAATCACAGTTCTGGTCTAAAAAAAATATAACAAAGGAACACTGGCCCTGGAGTCAGGAGGATCTGAG